TTCATGTTCTGTGTTTTTTCTGTTATATCTGAAGATGACCACATAGTAGGTCGAAAGCTCATATGAAATAAAATTCAAGATCTCTAAAATACTAGCTGCATTTATTCTTTATTACTTACATTAACCAACTTTGTTTTATTATATTTAGATTATGTTTATATTACTGTTCGATCGTCTTCGACATTCTTCTTCAATACTTATAATTCATTATCAACTGCTTTTATTGCGTCATTTAAGTTATGTTGAATTTTTAATAACGATGATTCTATATTAATGTTTGTATGATTGGATGGCATTTCTGACCATGCATTTAAATCATTTCTATTAAAAATCGTTCGATGTTCGAATTCTTGTTGATTATTTTAATTCTGTCACCTGGATTACGGTATTCTGATGGTATAAATAACTGTATTTCAGGTGGTAAAAGATCTGGACGTTTACGTAATTCGATAATTAGACGACGACGATATTCTTGTACAAATGGACATTTAAAGTCTGTCGATATGTGATCACATTAACAATGATCACATTTTATTTTACATTCTTTATGATCATCACCATTATTTCAGTCACTACCGCATCTTTTACATATATCAAAATTTGAAATTTTACAATTTTTCTTTTGACATATCTGGGTTGATTACATTTATTACATATTAAAACTTTTGAAGATTATCAAGTAATTCGATTCGAAGATAACGATTTCGATCACTCTTCGTCCCCATAGTTTCTTCACTTAAACATAATGATTTGTACTTAGCTGTAATTTCCATCTTTATATCATCAAAAGAGATGGAGTTTTTAACCCATTTTAGTATTGATGTGTACTGTGGTGGCAGATGCCTTGGTGGATGTAGGATTATTTTAATATTATTTAATTCTTTTGGAAGACGATTTGCTTGCGATAAATAAACAATTATTTCAGTAGATTTACTAATTGCTGGAATATTTCTATCTCTATCGATCCACCGCAAGTCAAATAATAATGGTTTAGTGTATGATACATTTTGACTTAGAAAGTCGACCTTAATATAATTAAGAAATGCTTGAATATATTTTGAACCTTTACGTTGATCTTTTATTTTTGCATTGCATTCAATTTTAATTGATTGAAAATGATATTCAGATGCATAATCCTATGCATACTTTGACATTCGAAATGGACTATCATTGACTTCATTTTTATCTATCGTTGTTATTATTAATATTCGAATTTATTATTGTTCGTGCTTGAACTCTATCATCTTTGTTACTTGTGAAGCGTTTCTTTCTCTGTCTGTTCTAATTAATTAGTTGAAAATCAAGTTCATCATCTGGACATTCATCTGTATACTGATCAAAATTGATTTGACTGTAATTTGTAGGATGCCGTTTTAAGCTTAATGAATATTCTTTTCTTTTTCCATTTTCGTTATGCTGTTGTATTTCAATTCCATCACAAAGGCAATCTTTTTGCATCGTGGGCATATTACTGTATAAGTGTGGGTGTAGGTGTGATCCTCCTCAATGATCAACACCCACACTCTTTCATTGATAAGACCTCATAGGATATTTGTTTGATCAAATTTGGTGAAAAATATCTTCCCTAACTCAGAATTTTTAATTTTCTACGAACTTGAACTTTTTACGCCGAAAAAGTGTAACCTTCGAAAGAACAATGGCAATTCCAAGGCAGAATTTCACCCTTTCTTGAATAAATAGGTTTTTGTCGCCATAACTTTTGATAAAGCCAGTCTTGCCGCAACGTCAAATTTGGAAAATGTCTTCTCAACTAAGAAGTGTGAACTAGATACTGACTTTAAAAATATATGTAGTAAATGAAGTATAGAGAGAAAGAACTGTGCACAGCTATAATAGATAAGTCTATAACTCAGTACTGACTAAACAGCAAATATTGAGTTTTCAATCAAACAATTCTCCTTTTTTTATTCTACTTGAAAATCGATCATAAGCATTCATACGTACTATATCGTAATTTATGCTCAAATAAGATATCAGCGATGTTCTATCACTGTCACTTGTCTAAGATTCTTATGAATTTGAACTGGAGCACAAAAATGAGAAAGATTGTATTAGAGAGCAAAATAAAGGAATAATGGGTGGTTAACCGGAAATATTGCAATGAATAATTTTGAATCCAACAAAACAGTTAAAACAAAACAATCGTTGTTAACAAAGTTGAGAATTTGACTAAAAAACATTTCTCGTCTTGTAACAAATCCTATTTTCATGAAAAGACAAATTTTCTGTCTCTATTTCAGACTACCCATTACGTTCTCCGTCCAGCACCAACATTCATCCGAATGCTCGATGGCAACAGAATGGTATCACGGTGGCTGGAGGAAATCGACAAGGCAATGGAATCAATCAACTCTCTTACACATTGGGTTTGTATGTTGATGATGATCAAACTGTCTATGTCGCTGATATATCGAATCATCGTATTGTGGAATGGAAATGGGGTGCGACGAGTGGCCAAGTGGTTGTCGGTGGAAATGGACAAGGAAGTGGGGCTCATCAGTTGTCTAACCC